CCAACTGTGAGAACCAGACTGTAAGTTAACCGGCAACGCATGGAACGGAGATATGATGAGGAAGATAAGGATGCGGTAGGGGAGGCCGAAGAAGATGTCCGCAGAAGATGACTTTCCAATTTATCGACTAAACTTGTTTGTACTATAAGTTAATAATATTGTACTTAATTATTGTACTCATCAAGTTACTGAATAAGGGACTATTTTGATAGCTTCGGTTGAATTTGGGGACAATGCTTTCAAGTTAATTTTTTTACAGTGCATTAGACTTGTTAACTTCACTGACGATTGTGATAGCAAATGTCTGTTAATTAATAGACACAATTATATCTATTGTTTTGTGGATTCAATCAAATGCTATGTGTATGAATTCTTTATTCGAGTATCTTCCGGGTTGTCGAGTTCGCTAGAGCTTGCATAATCAAATACTTGTATTAATTTAAACAGTAACGGCGTATGGTTATATAATGATCGATCTATAACACTTTTTAAGAGATAAATCATACTTCTGAGTGTTTAAATAACCACGCAGAATTCGATCGGGGCATCCAAAAAAACCCAGAAAGCATACCTAATGCCATATGTCAGAAAACCACGCGAACTTTGGTACGCGACTCGAAGCTTAACTTGAGCTTAAATTCGTCAAATTAAGCTTAACCGTTCAAGTTATGAATAAATTTGCTGTTGGAATCGACCCCCGTCCGCAAAATACCCCCTAAAGTAAGCACTGTATAACATGACTATAAATGTGTTCAGGTCAAGATGTTCACAATTTTCGCCATAATCGGCGAAAATTGGAAAAGGAAGGGCGTGGCCCGTAAAAAAGCTTTCGCGACCCAACAAAAAATTGGTGCTTGAGTAACTTTTTTTCTAGGTTTTTTTATGGACCAAGTACCAACATCATTAGTGAAGAATCGCAGCTTGTTTCACACTCGCATTTTCCGGTAGAGTGCACTTTATGATGGACTATAAATGCGACATGGTCCATCATTGGGCTAAGTCACACACCTTTTGAGCTCATGCGATGGACAGCGTCTCTGCATTTTGCCATGATGCCGAAACATGCACGTTGGATCAGGTATACGATTTCTTTTAGACGGCCGTGTTAATTTTATCATTTGTAATGCGGCATGAGAACTTAATATTTTAATGTGACAAGTACTATAATAAGTCCTATAATTTTTATGTATGCATTATTTGCGGCTTAGCAGCGAGGGTTGTAGACATGATTAACCGCGTATAATATTCTATAAATTGCCTCACGTAAGATACAACACGACGCGCGCGCGTGCCTCGCGTGCGAGGGCACCACGCACACACAGCACGCACTACGGGTCAACGGCACGCACGTGCACCGCCTACGGCGCACACACATGCACGGGCCGCACGCACGCAGCACGCATGCCGCAACAAGGAAACTCACACCATCACACACACACACAACACATCACACAGCACACACCACAGCAACACACAGCACACACACACACACACACACACACACAACACGACACACACACACAGCTACACCACACAAACACACACGCTGCACACAACGCACGTCCGCACGCAACGCCGAACGTTTGCGCTCGCACACAAACGCATGCACGCACGGAGCAACGCACGCCTTTGCGTGCTTTAAACGGTTTTGCCTATAAACATCGTATCTGTAACTATCTTTAATTCGTTTATCCGCATCGGGGTTTAGTTGACGTCTTGAACGCGGCAAATTTTTTATCGTCAACCCAAATTGTATTCAGCTGTGTTGTCATGTTTGTGGACAAGAAACGTGAGAGCTGTATCGCTACGCTGTCATCGGCAGGGGTGCAATACGTCATCACACAAAGAGAGCAATACTTCAATCACAAAGCATGCGTGGCACGTCCATTTAGGGGCGATCAGTTTGAGTGAGTGAAAGCAATGCAAGAAATAGACTGATCAAGAGAGTTGGAAGACGAATGTACAATGCCAATCCTATCTTCTCATTACTATAATTGTGTGTATACTATCGTAACAAAAAAATCAATGAATCAATAAATTGTTTGAACAGTGGACAATGTGTTATAGATAATTTTCAACAGCTCAAGTCTAGCAGTCAAACACATACACGGATACTATACTGACGCAAGGGGCTTCTTAGAAAGAAGAGGGAGAATTTTTAATGAGAGCGGTTAAGCTGGCTCGAAATCGCCCTTTACGGTATCGTAGAAAAGCATGGCAACGTCAGAAACAGTGGCGGCAGGCAAGCGACACTACAACAACAACGACAAAACACTAGTCCTTTGAACAACTATTATAATTCTCGCCTATTCATATCGACAAACAAATTTCTCGTGGTACCGAAATTTACGTGCAATGCATGCTGTATAACTAATTCTACAACTAATCAAACATAAGAGAAACGCTCGAAGAAATAGCCATGCTAAATTGCTATTATTAACCTTAACTTGCTGTGTAAAAGGTCCAGATTCGCTATTGCAAACTGTGATCTATTTGATCTTCGAAGACTGAAGTCAGAAGACGCAACAGTTCTTAACCGAGTACATCAAGAGGCTCAACATGCAGACGATATAGCGGCATTTCAGTGACACTTCAGCGGCTAGCAGTTGTTACTGCACAGCTTACAACGACCTTGGCTCTGCCAAGCAACATCATGTGGGTTTTGGTCCGAGCTACGGCAAAGAGTGTTCAAGCTCACGTGACCTTACATAAAACACTAAAATCAAAGTCTAACAGTTTTGTCCTTATGCCCTTCTGATCGTATGGCAGTGAAACATGGACTCTGTACATCATGCAAGTCGACAACTGAGAACAACAATACAACAACGGTCACCTGCGCTTATCATGGCATATTAAATGGATCATTCCAATCAGTAACGAGGAGGTCCTGAACAGAGCAGGTGTTGAAGAGCTCGAGAATTGAAGCTAGTAGAAGTCGTCGCGTTGGCTTGTTTTCCACATCTGGTAGAATGGATAATGACAGACGCAAGCAAAGGCACTCTTATACAGGCGAGCTAGCAAATGATCTGCGAGCTGTTGGTTGTCGTAAATTGAGATATAAGGATACTGCAAGGTGCCTGAGGTGTGGTAATATTCTTGATCAGTGGAGGAATGTTGTTAGACAACAGGCAGGAGTGGAGAGGTCTTGTGGCATACAACTTATGAATGCTTCAACAGAAAGAGAATCAAACAGTATGAAAGAAAAAGTGAACGAAGACTAAAGAATTTGAACAAAAGATGATCTATGAACTGTATAGCGGATAGATATTTGTACTACATTATTATTCTGTGTAATGCCGCCGTTTCGGCTCTCACTAGGCGTATATATATATATATTGCTGTGAATGCCGGACATTGGTGTCGCTGACATAAGGTTATTATTATAGGCAAGTAAGTGGTTGCTAGCGATATTGTGATTTATACAAGCAGAGATAATCGACTGTTTTGAGCCATATAAAAGGAAATAACATTTTGAAAAACTCTGTGTACCAGAATAGAGTGGAATACTGTGTGAACCTGGTGTGTATCATGAGTAGCATGGCGTTGACAAAGCAGCTATAATTAAAAGCAAGTCTAATACAGGGTATGTGTGTGTGCGCTTGCTCGCGAGCGTATGTGTGTGTGTGTGTGTGTGTGTGTGTGTGTGTGTGTGTGTGTGTGTGTGTGCGTGTGTGTGCTGTTGGTTGTGTGCCCGTGTGTGTGCGAGCGTGCGTTCGTGGGCAGTAATGTGCGTGTGTGGCGTGGAGTCGTGCGTGCAGGTGTGGCGTGAGGCGCGTTGCGCGTTGTGTATAGGTTGCTGCGTATATGTATTTAGTGGAGGATGAGGTTTATAGAGGGAGAGAGTAATCACGTGAAACTGAGCCATGCAAGGCAGGCGATGCTCCCAAGTGAAATATTAAGATGCGGGATTTGGCAACGGCAACACTACAGATGGCCGAGTTCTCGTATTTGTCATAAAAAGATCGTCCGAAAAAAATGTCTCTAAGAGATAACGCGCCCTAGATGGCCTGCACTCCGAACCCGTACATTAGTATATAAAGCCATGTAAAAGACAGGGTGTTGGCTACCA